TCACCGTGACCTACTTTTCAATTTATATGACTATAATTAAATATTTCAGGTGCTAATTGGCTTAGAATCATCAAACTTTGTCAGTTGATGCATCTTGGGTCTTCGGGGAAGGTCGACTAAAAAGTAGGTCACAGTGACCTACTTTTGAAAATTTATGGCGTTAATTAAATATTTCGGGTACTAATTGGCTTAGAATCATCAAACTTTGTCAGTTGATGCATCTTTGGTCTTCAGAGTAGATTGACTAAAAAGTAGGTCACCGTGACCTACTTTTGGAAAATTTATGGCTTTAATAAAATATTTCGGGTACTAATTGGCTTAGAATCATAAAACTTTGTCAGTTTTTGCGTCATGGGTTCTCGGAGTACAACAACTGAAAAGTAGGTCACGGTGACCTACTTTTGAAAATTTATGGCTTTAATCAAATATTTCGGGTACTAATTGGCTTAGAATCATTAAACTTTGTCAGTTGATGCATCTTGGGTCCTTGGAGTACAACAACTGAAAAGTAGGTCACGGTGACCTACTTTTGAAATTTTATGGCTGTATTTAATATTTTCAGGAATTATTTGGCTTAGAATCGTCAAAATTTGTCAGTTGATGCATCTTTGGTCCTCGGAGTAGGTTGACTGAAAAGTAGGTCACTGTGACCTACTTTTGAAAATTTATGGCTGTAATTAAATATTTTGGGTACTTATTGGCTAGAATTATCAAACTTTGTCAGTCGATGTATCTTTGGTCCTCGGAGTACAGCAACTGAAAAGTAGGTCACGGTGACCTACTTTTGAAAATTTATGGCTTTAATTAAATATTACAGGTACTAATTGGCTTAGAATCATCAAACTTTGTCAGTTGATGCATCTTGGGTCCTTGGAGTAAAACAATTGAAAAGTAGGTCACTTTGACCTACTTATAAAATTTTATGATTATAATTTTAAAAAATATTTTAGGTATTAATTGGCTTAGAATCATCAAACTTAATTGATGGGTCCTCAGAGAATGACAAGTGATAAGTAGGTCACCATGAGCAACTCTCAGGTACTAATTGGCTTAGAATCATCTTGGGTTCTCAGAGTGTGAATTGGAATTTCAAGGGTTTATGTAAATATACAGGATACTTCGAGGCTTCAAATAGAAGTGATAGGTTGTACAGTTAATCAGAAGAGCGATTCAAGGCCCATGGGCCTCTTGTTTTTTTTTTTAAATCATAGCTGGTACCACAACTGCTGGGTCCCAACTGTGACATTGGGATTTATGTCTAATACATACATGTATTATAGAAATATATTTAAAACATCCCTGTTAGGAATAGCAAAATGTATGTGAGATTATTATGCTTGAAAACAAGTAAGAATTGTCTTAATTTTGAAAACTTTTTGGGAGTGTGGTCATAGACATCTCTCAATGTTGTGTCTGTAAGCAGAGACATATAAAACGTGTCTCTGCTATAAGTAACAAAAATCCTGAAGTCTTTATCATGTTTCTCTGTAGAGAAGAATTGATTGTTTTATATTATGCTCTATGAAAAATCACATTCCTGCCCATTGGTGTTAGTTCATGTAATAATGAATTTTGATAATTTCCAAGGAAATCTTTAAAAACAATACTAATTTAAAATTTTGGCCCTCCACTAAAAATTCAGAAAATGACCCTTTGATATCTCAGTAGTTTGATTCAGGTGAGCATTATGGCCTGTATCTTCTCAGTAGTTTGAGTCAGGTGAGCATTATGGCCTGTGAATTCTCAGTAGTTTGATTCAGGTGTTCATTATGGCCTGTGATTTCTCAGTAGTTTGATTCAGGTGAGCATTATGGCCTGTGAATTCTCAGTAGTTTGATTCAGGTGTTCATTATGGCCTGTGATTTCTCAGTAGTTTGATTCAGGTGAGCATTATGGCCTGTGACTTCTCAGTAGTTTGATTCAGGTGAGCATAATGGCCTGTAACTTCTCAATAGTTTGATTCAGGTGAGCATTATGGCCCTATGATTTCTCAGTAGTTTGATTCAGGTGAGCATTACAGCCCTGTGACTTCTCAGTAGTTTGATTCAGGTGAGCATTATGGCCCTGTGACTTCTCAGTAGTTTGATTCAGGTGAGCATTATGGCCTGTGACATCTCAGTAGTTTGATTCAGGTGAGTATTATGGCCCTGTGATTTCTCAGTAGTTTGATTCAGGTGAGCATTATGCCCTGTGACTTCTCAGTAGTTTGATTCAGGTGAACATTATGGCCCTGTGACTTCTCAGTAGTTTGATTCAGGTGAGCACTATAGCCCTGTGACTTCTCAGTAGTTTGAGTCAGGTGAGCATTATGGCCCTGTGATTTCTCAGTTGTTTTAGTCAGGTGAACATTATGGCCTGTGACTTCTCAGTAGTTTGATTCAGGTGAGCATTATGGCCTGTGATTTCTCAGTAGTTTGATTCAGGTGAGCATTATGGCCCTGTGACTTCTCAGTAGTTTGATTCAGGTGAGCATTATGGCCCTGTGACCTTTCAGTAGTTTGATTCAGGTGAGCATTATGGCCCTGTGATTTCTCAGTAGTTTGATTCAGGTGAGCATTATGGCCTGTAACTTCTCAATAGTTTGATTCAGGTGAGCATTATGGCCCTGTGACTTCTCAGTAGTTTGATTCAGGTGAGCATTATGGCCTGTGATTCTAAGTAGTTTTGATTCAAGTGAGCATTATGGCCCTGTGATTTCTCAGTAGTTTGAGTCAGGTGAGCATTATAGCCTGTGACTTCTCAGTAGTTTGATACAGGTGAGCATTATGGCCTGTGATTTTTCAGTAGTTTGATTCAGGTGAGCACTATGGACTATATCTTCTCAGTAGTTTGAGTTAGGTGAGCATTATGGCCCTGTGACTTCTCAGTAGTTTGATTCAGGTAAGCATTATGGCCCTGTGATTTCTCAGTAGTTTGATTCAGGTGACCATTATGGCCTGTTACATCTCAGTAGTTTGATTCAGGTGAGCATTATGGCCCTATGATTTCTCAGTAGTTTGATTCAGGTGAGCATTACAGCCCTGTGACTTCTCAGTAGTTTGATTCAGGTGAGCATTATGGCCCTGTGACTTCTCAGTAGTTTGATTCAGGTGAGCATTATGGCCTGTGACATCTCAGTAGTTTGATTCAGGTGAGTATTATGGCCCTGTGATTTCTCAGTAGTTTGATTCAGGTGAGCATTATGCCCTGTGACTTCTCAGTAGTTTGATTCAGGTGAACATTATGGCCCTGTGACTTCTCAGTAGTTTGATTCAGGTGAGCACTATAGCCCTGTGACTTCTCAGTAGTTTGAGTCAGGTGAGCATTATGGCCCTGTGATTTCTCAGTTGTTTTAGTCAGGTGAACATTATGGCCTGTGACTTCTCAGTAGTTTGATTCAGGTGAGCATTATGGCCTGTGATTTCTCAGTAGTTTGATTCAAGTGAGCATTATGGCCCTGTGATTTCTCAGTAGTTTGATTCAGGTGAGCATTATGGCCTGTAACTTCTCAATAGTTTGATTCAGGTGAGTATTATGGCCCTGTGATTTCTCAGTAGTTTGATTCAGGTGAGCATTATGGCCTGTAACTTCTCAATAGTTTGATTCAGGTGAGCATTATGGCCCTGTGACTTCTCAGTAGTTTGATTCAGGTGAGCATTATGGCCTGTGATTCTAAGTAGTTTTGATTCAAGTGAGCATTATGGCCCTGTGATTTCTCAGTAGTTTGAGTCAGGTGAGCATTATAGCCTGTGACTTCTCAGTAGTTTGATACAGGTGAGCATTATGGCCTGTGATTTTTCAGTAGTTTGATTCAGGTGAGCACTATGGACTATATCTTCTCAGTAGTTTGAGTTAGGTGAGCATTATGGCCCTGTGACTTCTCAGTAGTTTGATTCAGGTAAGCATTATGGCCCTGTGATTTCTCAGTAGTTTGATTCAGGTGACCATTATGGCCTGTTACATCTCAGTAGTTTGATTCAGGTGAGCATTATGGCCCTGTGATTTCTCAGTAGTATGATTCTGGTGAGCATTATGGCCCTGTTACTTCTCAGTAGTTTGATTCAGGTGAGCATTATGGCCCTGTGATTTCTCAATAGTTTGATTCAGGTGAGCATTATGGCCTGTGACTTCTCAGTAGTTTGATTCAGGTGAACATTATGGCCCTGTGACTTCTCAGTAGTTTGATTCAGGTGAGCATTATGTCCTGTGACTTCTCAGTAGTTTGATCCAGGTTAGCATTATGGCCCTGTGACTTCTCAGTAGTTTGATTCAGGTGAGCATTATGGCCCCGTTATTTCTCAGTAGTTTGATTCAGGTGAACATTATGGCCTGTGATTCTAAGTAGTTTTGATTCAAGTGAGCATTATGGCCCTGTGATATCTCAGTAGTTTGAGTCAGGTGAGCATTATGGCCTGTGATTTCTCAGTAGTTTGATTCAGGTGAGCATTATGGCCCATATCTTCTCAGTAGTTTGAGTTAGGTGAGCATTATGGCCCTGTGACTTCTCAGTAGTTTGATTCAGGTGAGCATTATGGCCCTGTGATTTCTCAGTAGTTTGATTCTGGTGAGCATTATGTCCTGTGACTTCTCAGTAGTTTGATTCAGGTGAGCATTATGGCCCTGTGATTTCTCAGTAGTTTGATTCTGGTGAGCATCTCAGTAGTTTGATTCAGGTGAGCATTATGGCCCTGTGACTTCTCAGTAGTTTGATTCAGGTGAGCATTATGGCCCTGTGACCTTTCAGTAGTTTGATTCAGGTGAGCATTATGGCCCTGTGACTTCTCAGTAGTTTGATTCAGGTGAGCATTTTGGCCCTGTGACCTTTCAGTAGTTTGATTTAGGTGAGCATTATGGCCCTGTGACTTCTCAGTAGTTTGATTCAGGTGAGCATTATGGCCTGTGACTTCTCAGTAGTTTGATTCAGGTGAGCATTATGGCCAAACCTTATGGTTTATATGTATAATTGTTTGTCTCAAGAAAGGAAAATGTGGTACAAGTTAAATATTTCTTTTCTTTTTCAGGTGTGGACACTGTAAGAGATTGTCCCCAACATGGAATGAGTTAGCTAAGTTATACAATCCCATGATAGATCAACCACTTATCATTGCAAAGGTAACACAGTCAGAACCATTATATATGTAAATATGATAAAATATTTAGTATTATTCAGGTACTTGTTTTGATTATTGTATATTATAATTACTGATATATTGTAATGTATTTAGCCAAAGGGTAGTCAGTATTACTTGCTAAATCAGAAATGTAACAGCAAGACTGTAGGATTGGATGAAAGGTTTAATGTTTATGACAAGACTAAGGATGTTTTGGAGGTTGAAATAGATGGAGTAGTCTAAATTATTTATGTCATCCTTACCTTGATAGTGAACTCCTCTAGAGTTGGCTTTTCAATGTAGAACTCTTTAATTTTACTCTAGTGATCTTCAGTGTCAGAAGTAGACAGACCTTCTGTATAATGACAATGGTCAGATTGTATATATATACTACTATAGTTGAATTTTTGTTCACTTTTTTTTCAAATTTTGAATGAAAGAGTGTCATTGTGACCTTACGTCAACACACACAAAAACATACTAATTCAGTAACATATAGGACCAAATGTTTCTACATGGGACCTGAATCATTTTGGTTTGTTTTGAAAGAGTTGGGATATAACCTTGGTGACATGAAAAATTTAAAATTCTTGTCCAGAATATTGGTTTGATAATGATCACCTCTACATTCTTCTATCCATCCTTCTACAGAGTTTGTCTATATTTTGGGCCCTTTTTCAAGGAATCATTTTGCAAACTTCATATATATCTAAGTCAGGACAAAATCCTAATTATAAATAAATGATCATTTTAATGCAGACCTTGACCTGAGATGAACAATAAAAATTTTTGTATTGAAAGACTAGAATATATTTTCAGGTGGATTGTACAGGAGAGACTGCTTTATGTGCCAAACACGAAATAACAGGATATCCCACACTGAAGTTCTTCCCAGATAGATATTCTGAAGTTGTACGCTACAAGTCAGCCAGAGATCTGCAATCCCTTCAGGCTTTTATTGAAGAACAGCTGTCAAATGTAAGATTTAAAATATGAAAAAATGCAGTCTTTTTCATGTACCATATTAAATGAATCAATGATTATATTATTCAATAATTTTCTTTGTGTAATGAAAATATATGGAATTTAATATATTTTGTTTTTGGATCCCTTATTTTTTTTTATAGATACATGTACCAGTACATGGAGTTACATTCCTTAATGATATGGTTTAATAATTAAAGAAAAATTTCATTAATAGTTATGTTTTTAGCTCACCTGAGCTGAAAGCTCAAGTGAGCTTTTCTGATCACATTTTGTCTGTATTCCGTCTGTCTGTCCATCCATCTGTCTGTAAACTTTTCACATTTTTGACTTCTTCTCCAGAACCACTGGGCCAAGTTCAACCAAACTTGCCACAAAGCATCCTTGGGTGAAGGGGATTCAAGTTTGTTCAAATGAAGAGCCACACCTTCTTTCAAGGGGAGATAATTCAGAAATAGTGAAAATTTGATGGTATCTTCTTCTCAAGAACCACTTGGCCAAAAAAGTTGAAACTTGTTCAAGTCATGACCCCGAGGGGAAGGATTGGGCCACAGTGGGTGATCAAAGTTTTACATAGGAATATATAGGAAAAATCTTTAAAATCTTCTTCTCAAGAACACCAAAGCCATGATTAGTCATATGAATATGGGAACAACCTCAGGTAGTGTAAATTCAAATTTGCTCAAATCATGACTCTGGGGGTAGGGTGGGACCCCAGTGGGGGATCAAAGTTTTACATAGGAATACATAGGAAAAAATCTTCTTCCCAAGAACAACAAAGCCATGATTAGTCATATTGATATGGAAACATCCTCAGGTAGTGTAAATTCAAATTTGTTCAAATCATGACCCCTGTGGGTAGAGTGGGGCCACAATGGGGAATCAAAGTTTTACTTAGGAATATATAGGAAAAAATCTTCTGAAGAACAGCAAAGCAATGATTAGTTATGTTAATATGGAAGCATCCTCAGGTAGTGTAAATTCAAGTCCCCGCCCCCCTCCCCCATGTAAACTAATCAATACTAAACTGATTTCTGCGTTTTACTAGCCATGTACTCAGGTGAGCAATGTGGTCATGTGCCTCTTGTTTAATCATTACTGGGCTTCTCTTCATTAAAATTGGAGACTTGTGTTTTGGGTCCGTTCTAACCTGGTTTTTGTCTTTGGGACAGGCTCCAGAACAGACTGAAGAGAAGAATCAACCGTCATCAGGGCTATTTGATCTGACCGATGACTCCTTCCCCAAACACGTAGAGACGGGGAGCCACTTCATCAAGTTTTATGCCCCTTGGTGTGGTCATTGTAAGCGACTGGCCCCCACTTGGGAGGACCTGGCCATGCATTATCTGGGCCAGGAAGATGTTTCCGTGGCTAAGGTACAGGATACTATTTACAGGGTTATCTACACTTCATGTTATATACCAGGGTATGCCCTAGCACCCTTACAAATGATTTTGCCCCATTTTGATTGTGCCAGACACAGGTGTTTTCAGAAAAAATTGTCTTTTTACAATTCATGCCATTTTAAATTCATTCACTTGCAATGAAAGTGAAAAGGGTGAAAATTTCTTTGTTCTGTAGATTCCTTATTTTATGCAAGTTCTTTTAAAGCGACAGTACGGCTGCAAAATGTGTGCTTTTTCATTCAAATTTATCAAATATGTCATTAAGAAATAAGGTATAAAGTTGATGTAAGCAGTTTGAGAAACAGAAATATTCTCTACTCAAACAAAATTAACGTAATTAGAATCTGCCGGAAAATCAAGGGCCGTACGAACTGGAGCAATCTTAGATCTGTTTATTTGTACCATGTGAATTCTAAAACGGCACATGCCTACACTGTTGAGTTTACAATTATAATGAATATTAGGTGAAAACAATTTTCAAATACAAATTATCATAACTTTATGATAAAATAACTAAAATAATAATCGTAAAGATTTTAGTCTGCATTCAGGCGAATTTAACAGAACTAAAAGTGTAGTGATGTACGATGTATTTATGATCGGGATCGGGATCCTTATAATGTGTATAAATAGAATGTAAATAGTTTTCAGTAGTTACCCCCTAGACCTTGCAGAGTCCAGACGTATTATACGGCCTGTGAGATCCGGTAACTCAGATCTTTGGTGAGTTATTGACTCATCTATTGGTTGTTTATTCTTATTCCATTGTATTTATTTATGTCGAAATATTAACACAACATTGGTGTCAGAAGTGGTTGTAGATTTCAATCGAATACCCCGCACAAAAGATCGTGAATTTTGGCGCCATTTTTAAAAATAAATTCTTTGTTCGCCTAAATAAGATCAGGGTACATTGAATGAATAGTGTTAGTGTTTTGTAAGATCCTTTGTCATTATTTTTCAATTTTTTTCTAAGCCTACAAGAACATGTTTTTTTTTGCATCTCATACAATTGCATGACTATTTCGTCGGAGTGTCTGATGATTTAGTCAAACACATCATTTAAGACCATTGATAGTGAATAAGTAGGCTAATATAGTGGGTAAATAAGATCAAGGTCATGACTACCCCTATAGATATGAACACAGCCTCTGTTGAAGATCTTGTGAGGATAAACAATATAGGTAAAGTAAGAGCACAGGCAATTGTAGATGCACGATTAAATAAGGGAACCCTTACATTAGAAGATCTTAAGGTAATCCCTAGTATCCCAAGTAATATCTGGGACCCTCTTGTCGATCAGGGTAAGATAATTGTCCCTTCAACTTTAAGAAATACTTTGTCCACACAGATCACTGGGCAAGTAGAAAAATCACAAGACAGATCACAAATTCAAACAGAATCAATAGAGCATGTACAGACACTGCAATCACAAGAAAACTTATACCAACAAATAGAAAATTTACAAAGAGAGTTACGAGAGAGAGAACACCAGATCAGAGAGAGAGAAAATGTGATCATGGAGAGAGAGAAAGAATTAGGAGAAAAAGATCAATTGTTACAAGAAAAAACTGTCCGTCTTGAGAATAGTGAAGGGGAAGTTTCAATGTTACAGAGAAGTTTGGTCGTTAATAGAGAGAAGTATGATGGCATGTTTGAAGATTTGCAAAAGAAAGTTAATTTAAGAGAACAAGAACTAAATGATCAGTATGAGAGATTTGATGAACAAAAACAAAAAATAAGAGCATTACAAGAGCAAGAGCATGCTGAAAGAGAAGAACATTTAAGATCAAGAATGAGAGAGATGGATGAAAGAGAAAGGGAGATTGTGAAAAGAGAAAAAGAATTGAACCAAATGAAAGCAGAATTAGAACATCAATGCTTTACATCAAGAATAGAAAAACTTGCCCCACATAGTATTTATAGTCATAAGAACGAATCTACGAGGGGTTATCAAAAAGTTCGTGGACTAGCGTCATAAAATTAAAACCGCTTAAGATACATCAATGAATTTTTAAACATTAAATAAGCATCTTCATTTCTATCCGTAAAATAAACCATAAATCATAAGTTTTATTTTTTAAATAAATTTTTAATGTTTTTGTAAGCAATGGTATGTCAAGGCGGCGCAACCTCGAACATGACGTATTTTCTACCTAAGTGTAACTGAGAAAAACTCTTCTAATATGAGCATTTGTCATCCGAAATTCGCATTAATTCACTCATGTGATATGACATAATTTTTCCGTAAAAGTTGTAATTTTTACCTGATTCAATATATTCTATGAAATTTTATCGTAAATTTTATAGGGAATGTCCAAACAATATAGGGTTAAAAATGACGTCGAAAGGGGGTAGGGTGTCATTTTACAACATTCTATAAATTTTCAGCCCCTGGAAAACCTGACATAGACCTAGAAAATGTTTAAACAGGCTAAAGAGAAATAAAATACATCCAGAGTATTTGTGTTTAAATACCAAGACAGATTCAGCAAGAAAAGAGACACACGGTTAATGTCGATTTGTAGTCAGGGTGTCCAAAGTCAGACACGTCGAAAAGTGACGTTGATCATTGGTTGACATTGAACACCGGCAAGAAAATTATGCAGGCAAATCAAGCGAGGATCTTTTCCTAAGTATAGATTTAATATTTACAATATTAATGCATTGAAATCAGGTGTTCATGACATTGTATAGTCATATAAACAAGACGGGTTTAGGTCTTTACTTTACTCCAGAGAATCTCATCATGAAAACTGTATTGAGGCAGAGGGAGCGGGCATGGAGAAACAATGACGTTGTCGTACGTCATGAAACAAAACGGCGACAGCGCCGGGTGATCGTATAATGCTCTTTTTATTTAATGATAATTTGGCAAATTATCAACATATCAAGCTGAAATTTTCAACACTTCTTAAACTTTTGTTGTTTTATGTTCCCTACAAATTTTGTAATCATCAACTACATAGTATTAATTTTATCGCATCAGTCCACGAACTTTTTGATAACCCCTCGTAGTGTTGAAAAACCAGAAGAGAAGTAAAACTCAGTTTCCAGTCCAGCACCCCCAAAACTTGCTACGTATGATGGCAAATCAGAATGGAGACCATATTTCACTCAATTCAATCACATCGCTAAAAAATACAAATGGAATGACTCAGACAAATTAGATAAGCTGATTGAGTGTTTGAGAGACAAAGCATTAAAGTTTTATAGTTCAAGACCTGAAAACGTACAACAAGATTACAAATTGCTCTGTCAGAAATTGAAAGAACGATTTGATAAGAAGGACCAGCCACACATTATTCGAAGACAGCTGCAAGAGATTAAACAAATTCCAGAAGAAACGATTGAAGAATTTGCGGAGCGCATTGAAGAACTTGCTGCTGAAGGATATCCAGAGACCCCTGAATTCTTCAAAAACACCATCACCGTCGATGCTTTTCTTCGAGGCTGTACAGAGAAACGGGCTGCATTGGTCACTCTTGATAAAGATCCACAAACTCTGGACCAGGCAATTAACTACATGAAAAGTTCCATCACCAATCAAAAATTAATAATGGGCCCAAAGAAAGAGATCAAAAGCGTTACATTTGAGAACATGAAATCTGACGATAGTCCATCCAAAGACATCAGTATTCGAATGGCAAGGAGTCCATCACCACCAAAGCCTTCATTAGAATCAAGAATTTCAGCTTTAGAAAAAGAGAGCAGGGAAACAACTAGACTGCTAAAGGAAATTTTGAGAGTATTGCCAGTGCCTGATGAAGAAAGACAACCCAGACCAAGATTTCAGTCACCAAAAAGAACATATACATCAACATCAAGGTCAACGTCAAGGTATACATCACCACAAAGATCGTTGAATGCATCAGGACCAAGATATGCATCACCAAAAAGATCTCCATCAAATAGTCCTGTAAGGTCAGAGAGTGAGAGCGAGTGCTATGTGTGTGGTAAAATGGGACATTTTGCTAGAAATTGTTGGAAATCAAAATCAAGATCACCCTCACCAACACAAAAAGCTGTCAATTTAAACTTTCAAGAGCTGAGGAAATAGGTCATTCCTCAGCTCGTACAAACACACAAAGACCTCAACCACACACTAAATTTAAATCAAACATAAAAGAAATCGAATTAACACAAGATAGATCCATGAAATATAAGACACTCTATCTACCAATAAGAGTTCAGAACATTAGTACAGAAGCTGTTTTAGATACTGCAGCCACTGTGAACTCTATAAAAACTGAATCCAAGTCCTCAACTTACTGACCATGTTTCCTTAAAGGGTATAAGTAATACCAAGGTAGATTCTGTCATATGTAAAAGTGTACCTTTATCAATGGGAAATATCAGCACAAAATGGAATTTTGTAGTGGCTAAGGTGTCAGATCCAATAATTATAGGCCTTGATTTTTTAGAACATACTAAGGCAACTATAAATTTACAGGATTTTTCAGTAACAATAAAAATTGTAAAATACATGCAAAATGTATCGCAAATGAGGACAAAGAAAAAGTCAGAATTTTCAGAATACACACAAAAAAGAAAGTGGTGGTTCCCCCACATGCTTATATTTATTCTGAAATAGATTATAACATTACCCCAGAATCTGACATTGCTATAAGTCCATGTTACAATCTTCATGGTCTTTTGTCACCAAATTGTGTAAATAGCAAAGATTAAAATTTTATTTTATTGAGAAACCCCACAGACAGTTATAAAACTATTAAGAAAAACTTTGACGTGGGTTTTGGTATACAGTTAGACAAGGTTTTGGACTATGAAAGATCACAGTCATTAGGTATTGAAGATCTTGTAAATATCAGAAAATTAGGTATTGAAAATCTAAGTTTAGATCAGATTAGACAAGAAATACCAAAACATTTGACTGAAATGTTTGAAAGATCAATTAAAAATCTGTCAACAGAACAAAGTATCCTGTTTGCAAAATTCATTATTTCATT